TTCTTCGCCATATTTGTTTACAAACGCCAGCGCCCCCATCGGTAGTCGAAATCGCTTATTCCCACATCGGATGAAACTGCAAGTAGGCTTTGCAATATGAAGGATGGGGACTTCCAAGTAGGTATTGATGATAAGTCATCGGATCTGTGTATATTTGGAACTCCTTTTGGGTTACATAAATTTTGTCGTTTACCATTTGGAATTTGTTCAGCCCCAGAGGTGTTTCAAAGATTAGGCTCTGAATCTTTTGGCGACATTGCAGGAGTGGGAATCTATTTTGATGACATAATCATAACAGGCTCAACAGAATCGAGCATGATTTTGTTGCCTCCAAAAATATTCACCTGTGAGTTCAAATATCGTGGGCGGTTCGATGGGGTATTAAAGTTGACCAAGGTTACTGTACCCTAATTACTAATTTCAATATGTAGACAATGTGGGTTAATTGAGTCAAATATCGAATACAATAAGGACCCCTCATTAGTGGACAGGTCAAGTACTTGGGTAGATAGAGGTACTGATTACAAATTTTATATAAAACGGAAAGACGATTCATTTTCATATTTCAGTTTGCACTTAGATTTGTGGAGTGAGAGTTCCATTGTAATCACTATTTTCACATTGAAAGACGATGGCAGTTCACGTAGTGGAAATTCAACGAGGCCAAGCTTACATCTTACATTATGGATACAAATATTCACTGAAGTGTTAAAATAAGAATTCTACTAAATGCTGGATCTGTATAAAGCGCCTCTGTCCAGGTTCCATGTCCACCAGTGAAAGTTTGAATGTTTTGTCAGAGAGACCGCATTCTTTTGTCTCTAGTGTAGCCAAAAATGAAGTCGAAATAGGTCTGTTCAAAACGATGCTTCTGAAGAAATGTCACAAATTTTCAGGTAAGAGCTAAGCTAATGAACTTACAAGATTTGGTCACTGAAATTCCGACATTTATGTCTATTTAAGATACATTATACAGACAAAGACATGAGAAACTAGGAGTTCAACAGTTGGCAAAATGTAGATGAAGTGAAATGCAGATTCCAGATTGGGCCATAGGATATGTTTTAGCGGACAATGAAACAGAAGAACGAATAATCGTGTTCGCCGACATCCAAGGGAATCTTCTGAGATGGAACTGAATTTTTTGTGGATGGAACTTTTAAAAGTTGCTGCCCATTGTTTGAGCAATTATACACCATACACTGATCTAGGAAGCACTGAGTAATCAACGGTGGTTGTAGCTGCAGTGTACAGAAAGTTAAATATGTACATATATAACATTTTTCCAAATGATTCGACAGTGTATGCCGCAATTCTTCCCAGAAAAAATACATATTGACTACGAGAAGGCAGCGATTAATGTCATTAAGGAGATTTTTCCAGATACAACAATTAAAGGTTGCAACTTCCACTTTAACCAGGCTCTGTGGCGAAAGGTTCAAGAATTTGGACTGCTAACTAGAGATAATCAATGTATCAGAAATCATATCCGAATGTGTGCAGCCCTTACTTATTTGCCAGAAGAAGATGCATGGCGGATAATATTGGAGAATGCACCAAATGGCCCACTCTTAGACAAATGATTATTTTGTTGATCAGTGGTGGGACAATAATTTGTTATGGGTAGTCTACAAGGAGAGCCATAGGACCATCAATATGATAGAGGGCTGGCACAGCAGACTCAATAAAAGAATGGGAAAAGCCATTCCAAATATTTACGGGTTATTGAAGGCGAAATAAGATTTTATATTGTAGCTGAAAAACAATCAAGTTTACACACGAGTAATCCCAAAAGACACAGGAAATAAAGTGTGTCCAAGATAAGGATGGGATAGCATTAGGATCTGGAGAAGGGTTGGAGTTGTGGTGTTTCACAATTGGACCCTGCAAGTTAGGAAACTTCATGTCGGAGATTTGTCATGTCGTGTGGTCATCCAAATACCTTGTTGGTTCTTAAGCTCTGTTACAACCGATATGAGAACCCTTCTAGAACCGTAATTTCCAGTCGATCAATTTATTTGTCAAGTAGAATTGAATAGCAAGTGAATAGCAACTGAAAATTATTGGTTCTTGAACGGTTCTCATGTCGGTTGGAACATACCTTATATTTGTAATCTGGCCAAAAATAAAGTCCTGCGCCCAGTAAACTGTTTTAATGTTTTATTGTCAAAACATTAAGTAAATACATAGTAGGAGTTACAATATTGGTTATGCCCGTATTACATCTTTTTCATATGCGAATAATTCGTATCTTGTAGTAATGCACTCGTATTCAACTTAGCTTGAAATATTACTTTAAAAAAAATAAGTCTGCTCATGAGGTGATTTTAAAATTAAAAATTATGTTTTCAAAATTTGGTAGCCCAGATCAACTTATTTGTAATAATGTATCATTCGGTAGCCACACTATATGTACGAATTTGTAAAAGAATGGAATTTGGATAGCCCAAATTACCCTCGGTCGAATGGGTTGGCCGAAAAACTACCAGTCTATACAGATTTATAGCAACCACTAACCAGCATTGTGTGAAAATGTTATTGACAGGTTGCAAGCACGTCAAAATTACAATGATGCTTATAAAAATAAAACTGCTACAAATCTCAATGACTTGGCACCAAATCAAACTGTTTCAGTCTACAATCATCTGAATCAAAGATGGGAGCCAGGCAAAGTCATAGAACTTGATAAGACCCCTAAATCATATAAGATGGTGATATGCACCAGAAGTTACACCAGCAGGTGATTCTTTTGGTCTTGTCTCGAAGTCTAGTGGAATATATGTTTATTTTTGATACAAAGTATTTTAATTGGAAACCTAAGCATAATGCACTGTTACACTTCTATCATCTTTAGATACAACTGAGTTAGCTCTTTTTATAACCCATTCGTTCTCCGACTGTTCTGGGCCAAATAAAGGATGGTGTGATCAATGTGCTTTACTTTAAGCTTTCTGTAGAATTCCTGATACAGTCGATGTAGTGGCATTTCGTTTCTTTACGACTTCCATGTGATTTACTTAGTGGGGTTTTGGGGTTTTCCATGTCTTCTTTTTTAATATCCCCAAGCTACAAATTGGTTGATTTTGTACAAGTTGCCTTTTATCCATGTAAGGCAAATAATCAGTCTCGGAGGTTTCGGTGGATTTTATTGAACTAAACGTGCTCAACAATCAAGCCAAGCGGCTGCATCATTGTAGGGTCCTTGAGGTCCTTGTTGATTCGTATCGACTAGAGTTTGGATAATAACTTAAGGCATCTGTAATGTTTCTAGTAGAAAACAAAACATAGTTCTGTACATAGCAGTTTTGTAGCCTTCATGATTTGCCAGACCCTCAGAAGGTTTGTTTGTCGAATACGACCTGGTTGATGATTGCCTTCTTCTCCCAGGCACCAGAAGTTAAAGAATTATAATAAGGTGAATGTTGAAAATGTGTAAGTTCGTTGTATTTGTAAGGTTCTACCAAGTCAGGATAATGGACTGTTAAATTAATATAATCAGCGCTGTTGTTGTATACGTATCTTTGTTATTGCTACCTGCCACTGAATAAATGGCTGGCTGATTATGATGAAACAAATAAGGGGATATCGAGCTTTGAGTGCAACATTGACCCTGTTCTCTCATTTTATTTTTATTGGGACTAACGTTAATGTCCGAGGCAAGAGGTGGGGCAGGCACAAATGTTCCATATCCGTCTAATTGAACATTACTTGAAGACCTGACATTAGTAAAAGCTGAAGAGTGGTGTCCTCTAGGTAAAATTTGCAAATGATTAGCTTCATTTTCTAGTATTCACGGATGATTTTGCATAGCTACGCATTTTGGCAGGAGAATTAGATATATTTGGAGAAGTTGGTCTGTTATTATACTTAGTAGTTATAAGGCTTGCCATTTCTAGGAGAATCATGAGACTTTTCCAAACTTGACTATCCTGACATAGACGAGAGACCTGAAGCAATTTTAACGGCAACTATATTCAATGAATGAGATTTTCTCCTCTTAGGCGATGTTTTGAGCGATGTAGGAGAATGCTGTTCGGAAATTAAGTGATCTTGATTCGTATTTGACGACGATTGGCGTGAGTCTGGTGACAGAAAATTGCTTGCCAATAAATTTACGGTATTAGAGAAGAATCCGTCAGTAGATGCTAGGGAAGGAGGACAGTACGATTGACATAAAGGCTTTTCGGCATCTAAATATCCATCTTTCCTTGTTCTCATACTACAAATAGATAATGAAGAAAAATGGTGTTTTTCTGGTATGATATCGAAAATATTTGTAGTGAAACAAGGTACAGTATCGTAAGAAGCTGGCATTAGTACAGACAAGTCAAGATTGCTACAATAGAAAGGATTTGTTGAGTTTCTTATTGTTGTAGCAGCTGCAGCTTCAAGCGCATTCAACGTGTCGAACTGCCGCACTGTAAGCTAACCGATCATCAACCGTGGAGAAAAGTTCAGGACAAGACATTTTGTCTAAATGGTTAAATTCAGGAATTTTAGAATCCACGGATGATTATTATATGCATAGATTTCTATTTATATAAAATAAGGCTTGCTATTTTTAGGAGAACCATGAGACTCTTCGAAACTATGTAGACTATCCTGACATAGATTCAATAGATAGCAATAGATAAAAAGAAAATTGTAAAAATGTTGAAGCAATTTCAAGTATAAGTACCTATATGTCACCAAATTTCGCGGGGGTCAACAAATAACTCTCTTTAGTACAACTGTTATTGAACAATCTCTTTTATAGATTGACTCACAAACTACGCGCTAATATACAAAAATTATTGGTCGAGAAGTCTCTAAAATAACTCGTTTACTTGAATCATATTACAATAGAATGACTCGCGCTCGGTCGTAAACCTAAAAAATCTATCCTGGATTCTGGAATGAAACTAGAATTTGGGAATAAAATGCCTCATTCTTTGTTTTTATAAAAATTATATGCATATAAACTAGAAAATATCGTTCAATATTTCATCCATGTAACTTACCAACTACACCGTCCATAGGCAGTAGCATAACGCACAGAAAACACACAAGGGAAAACTCAATCGCGTAACTATACGGTACTTGAGTTTCTCCATTTATTCCGCTCATATTTATATTATTATGGCAACAGTTCGCTGTGGAATTATCTACTCAGCAACGCAGCTACATTTTGGCATAAATTGGCCGCCGTTTTACTACTGCCCAGAATTTAGTTTTGGTATGGGAACGGTCAATAATAGTTGTTCGCATCGCTAGTTTCGGCTTTGAATGCTAACTTTCCGGCCTTTTGTTGGACCAGTTGAAGTGGGACCTGGAAAAAAAAGGGATGATTTTGATTAAATTGCATTGTTCACGAATGTCAGGAACTTTTTAGTATAACAAAAATTTTGTATTGTAATTTATTTTCGATTAAATCCCATTTGATTTGTAAAAAAAAATATTAAAACTTTAACTTTTCAACAACAAGCGAGATTTGATTGAACAAATTCTACGATTTCTTTTTAAGTAGGTACTTCAGTTACACGATTGCACTTAATTGGTTTTAAAACAGAGCAATTTGCTCTCAATTTTCCAGAGAAACTAAATAATTAAAGCGTTCAGTGAATACCTACGTGTGAATTAATTATAAAATCCATAGGTACCTAAAAAGCTTCTGGATAAATAGCCCGATATCTGGTCCAAAGTTTTTTACGAGCCGAAAACCGACGTGCCTGAGCAGTTAACACCTTTTTATGTTCTTGCCGGTTTTAAATAGATTTAAACGGTTTTATTTTGACTGCAAGATGAAAGATGGAACAAACTAGGGAGACAGGGTGCGTAAAAAAGATACTTTGAAGTGCCGTACATTGATTGGTTGTTTCTTTGTTTGATTTTTTCGAGGGGAGAAAATGTCTTTTGTGGTTCTAAAAATAAACGTTATTGTTGTGAATGGGATTATCGAAACTGTCGGGCGAAATTTTTTATTTAGAAACAGGTGTTCTATTTTCGGAACTAACAGATTATCATCCAGGATTCAAGGTGCATAAGTCCAAATTAGTTGAAATTTTCGAGATTCTAGGATAAGATTCACTGAACATTTCAGTTTTCTATCTATTACAGAATTGGAGTTATATACCCCATACCTGAAAGGCTTGGAACCCAATTTGAGATTGTAACTTTTTGAAAAGTGTTTTTTTAATTCGATATTTTCCAAAAAGTTGGATCTTAGAGTTGTACTCTGTTACCCCATTGGTCGACCAGTTATCCGCCGACCAATGGATTAGCATAGTAAGTTTATCTTTCGAATAGTTGAACAAGTTTACCTGAAGATGAGTAAACCGGGCTATATTCTTTTTTGAAAAAACAGAAATTCAAGAGCCTGAAATAGATAAAAATTGATACTAAAGTAATGAGAAAAGAAAGTTTAGGAAAATAAGTAAATTCTGTTTCTATTCCAGGCTCTTGAATAGTTTTTAGGGTCGATTTCACTCTCAGGTTGAATCTGACGGATAAAACGCAATCTGTTACCCCATTGGTCGGCCAATGATACGCCGACCAATGGACTATAAAACAGTAGTTTATGTTTCGGAAAGTAACCCGCAAGTTTACCTGATGAAGATGAGTAAACCTGGCCTCATTCTTTTATAGAAAAAAAAAACAGAAATTCAAATTCAATAAAGAAAAATTTATACCTACTGAAGAAATGAGAAACAAAGAGAAGAAATTTAAGAAAAATTAGTAAATTTTGTTTCTCTTCCATGCTCTTGAATGTTTCTTAGTTAGGGTCGGTTTAACTGTCAGGTATATGTAATCTGACGGATAAAAACGCAATCTGTAACCCCATTGGTCGGCCAGTTATCCGCCAACCAATGGATTATTATACCAATAAGTTTATCTTCCAAATAGGTAGTTACCAGCAATTTCACCTGAAGATGATTAAATTGGGCCTCATTATTTTATAGAAAAAAAAATTCAAGAACCTGGAACGAATCAAAATTGATACTGAAGAAATGAGAAGTGAAGATTGGAAATTTAAAAAAAAATTGTGAATTCTGTTTCCATTCCAAGCTCTTGAACGTTTCTTAGGGTCGATTTTACTGTCAGTATGCTGGTATAACTGTCAGGTATATTAATGTAATCTAACGGATAAAAACGTAGGTAATCTGTCATCGCATTGGTCGGCCAGTTATCTGTCGACGATGGATTATAGAGGAGTAAGTTTGTCTTTCGGATAGTTACCAGCAAGTTTACCTGAAGATGAGTAAACTGGGCCTCATTCTTTTATAAAAAAAAAAACAGAAATTCAAGAGCCTGGAATAAAGAAAAATTGTTACTGAACAAATGAGAAACAAAGAGGAGAAATTTAATAAAAATTAGTAAATTCTGTTTCCAATCCAGGTCCTTGAATGTTTCTTAGAGTCGGTTTACCTTTTAGGTATGTAACCTGCGCTGATGGATAAAAACGCAATTAGTTATCCGGCGCTGACCAATGGGATTATAGAACAGTATGTTTATCTTTCACTTCCCTTAACTCCTACAAGTGATAAAATCTCTAATAGAAAAATGTGTAGAATATAACATACCACTAGTACTGATCTTTGTAAACTATGAAAAGGCGTTCGATACTGTGGACCAGCACAAGCTACTACTGGCTCTAACGGACTGTCGTACCGATCATTGATACATAACACTCATAAAAAACATTTATGACACTGCCACAGCCCATGTTAGATTACATGCCGACACCGACAAATTTAATATAAATCATGAAATCCGACAGGGACAATTTCCCCTAAATTATTTACTACATTGCTACAGTCTATGTGCAAACGAACAGATTGGGATAATATTGGTATAAATGTCAATGGCGAACATCTCAGCCACCTCAGATTCGCCGATGATATAGTTTTAATTTCAGACCGTACTGATAAAGCCACAAAATCTCTTGAAAGATTTTATCAAGCATCAGGTCAAATTGGGCTAAAAATCCACACAAAATCCACATATCAAAGACCCAATTTATGACAAATCTACTAAAAACATACCTTTAGGTGACACTGAAATACAACAAGTGACATCCTATAAATACTTAGGCCATGAAATTCGCATAGGTCGGGATAACCAGACTCAGACCTGTGAAATTTTCAGGAGATTAGGTACACGGGCAGCATTTGGCAATCTCAGAGACCCATTTAGGTCTGATCTTCCTATATGTCTGAAACGTAAGCTTTATAACCAATGAGTCCTGCCTGTCATGACGTACAGAGCCGAAACCCTAACACTAACCAAAAAGTCTATTAATAAAATAAGAACAACACAGACAGCAATGGAAAGATCAATGCTGGACATTTTGCTTAGAGATAGGATACCTAATAGAGAAATAAGGTTTAGGACAGGAGTTACAGATGCAGTTAAGAGGGTAACTTCTTTACATTGGAACTGGGCGGGGCACGTTGCGAAAATGAAAGATGAACAATGGACTAAAAGGATTATCGAGTGGAGGCCAAGACAAGAAGCATATCGAAGTAGAGGGCGACCCCCAACAAGATGGATGGATAACATAAAGAGAATCAGGACAAACTGGATGCAAGCTGCACAGAATAGGGAAGAGTGGCAAAATTTGCGGGAGGCCTATGTTCAGCAGTGAACGTTACAATGAGCTTATTGACGATGATGATGATGTTTATGTTTCGGATAGTTACCTGAAGACGTGTAAACCGGACTTCATTCTTATATAAAAAAACAGAAATTCAAGAGCCTGGAAAAAAAAAAATTGATACTGGAGAAATGAGAGACCAAGAGAAGAAATTTAAGAGGAAATTACTAAATAATAAAATAAAAAATAAGTTTATCTTTCGGATAGTTACTAGCAAGTTCACCTAAGGAAGAGTAAACCGGGGCACATTCTTCTATAAAAAAAAAAACAGAAATTCAAGAGCCTGGAATGAAGGAAAATTGATACCGAAAAAATGAGAAACAAAGAGAAGAAATTCAAGAAAAATTAGTAAATTCTGTTTCTATTCCAGACTCTTGAATGTTTCTTAGGGTCGGTTTAACTGTCAGCAGTAATGTAATCTGACGTATAGAAACGCAATATGTTATCCCATTGGTCGGCCATCAGTTATCACCCGACAAATGGATAATATGAAAGTAAGTTTATCTTTCAGATAGTTACTAGCAAGTTCACCTAAGGAAGAATAAACCGGGACTCATTCTTCTATAAAAAAACAGAAATTCAAGAGCCTGGAAAAAATTGATCTGATGAAGAAATGAGAAACAAAGAAAAGAAATTTAAGAAAAATTAGTAAATTCTGTTTCTATTCCAGACTCTTGAATGTTTCTTAGGGTCGGTTTAGCTGTCAGCAGTAATGTAATCTCACGTATAAAAACGCAATATGTTATCCCATTGGTCGGCCGGTTATCCATCGAGCAATGGATAATAGAACAGTAAATATGTTTATCTTTATTTAACAAATAGTTACCAGCAAGTTCACCTTAAGATGAGTAAACCGGGCATCACTCTGTCATAAAAAAAAAAAAACAGAAATTCAAGAGCCTGGAATAAAGAAAAATTGATGCTGAAGAAATGAGAAATAGAGAGAAGAAATTTAAGAAAAATTAGTAAATTCTGTTTCTATTCCAGGCTTTTGAATGTCTCTTACTCTGATTTAGGTGACATGACAAAACAGAATTCTAACCTCATTTTCTAAGATTTGTGTTTGTTTGAAAAATTCGTTAGATAGGTACAGTCGTGAGCATTGAAAGTGGGACACCCGACTGACAGGTCTTGTCATTTTCCGCTAGTTTCGGTAAATCAGTATTTTCTGTACAACGAATTTTTTGTCAAATATGACAATCCCTGTCATAGCCGACGGTGTAGCTGGTGAGCGCGTTTCCGTTTTACAATAGGAAATATCGGGCGTCCCATTTTTAATGCTCACGACTGTAGGTGTTTTTTTTATTATTCAAAATTTCATTTTTGTACTCAAGTATTTCAAATTTCAATATTTGCTCTTGAAAGCCCCTTGCTGATGATACCCTTCGAAACATGGCTGGGGATGGAATAGTAAAGGGAAAAAAGTCAACACATTTCTCAAAAGTTTAAAAGTTTTATTTTTTGTTAGAATACGGATATTTTCGAAGATTTCGATATACTTTAATCAGCCATTGCCACTACACGATACAAAAATTATTTAACACAAACGCATTTTCTCTCTAAAAAAACATAAGCAAATGAATGTCAAACTCAAATCCATCGCAAATCAGTCAAACGACAAGTGGAGTACGGCAGCGCAACAAAAACAAACAAGAGATAAATTCTATCTTTATCAAAAGCATTCAACTTCCCATAAGTGTTTCTCACTTTTCGTTTTCTTTAGTTGGTAATACTAGCATTGAATACTGAAGTTATCAGCAACGAATTGTTAGCCCGAGGATAATTTTACTTGAAAATATCCCTCGGATATACAGGGTGTCCCACGGTGGATGGCGTATTAGACGTTTATGGAGAACTAAAAAGCGGATCATTTTGAAAATTTGGCAACCGGGATAAACGACCGTAATCTACACTTTAAATATATTTTTGTTTATGCGGTGTTGCCGCTTCTACTCTTAACCAGTGGCAACATCGCTATTTTAAACAGAACACCCTGTATGTATTGTATTGTATATTTGGATTCTCCGTAAAATTCTGAACAGATTTCATGTGATATACCCTATACCTAAGTTCAACTGTTTTGGAAATATTGACAGTTGAAAATTGACTTTTTGCAACTTTGACAGGCTATAAAACCTAAATGGTTATCTTTAGAGGAGAACCGATTTTACATTCCTATCTTAGATTTTTATACATATCCCTCACGAATTCGAAATTATTTGGCCACGAGCGACGAAGGAGCGAGTGGACGGACGAATGAGTTTAGAAATAGGACCTTTTGCAACGTGAATTTTATTCTATTTTCTCAATTTTGGATTTCATTTATAATTTTTTTGAAATTTTTTGTGGTTTTTGCTAGTTGGGGATTGTTCTTATTGCCCAATATGTCAGTTGGTGACACTTATTTTCTTATTTATCAACCAACTGATGGGTGAATTTTATTATTTTAGGTTTGAAAATTTTGATAGTATACAATAGGTACTTTGAAAACTAAATTACACTAAAAATCGTTGAAGAATGAGCTTCTTTCTTCAACGATTCTGCGGCGAGAATATGACATTCTTACATCAAAATTGAGAAAAATTAGTAAATTCTGTTTCTACCAGGCTCTTGATTTTTTTAGGGTCGGTTCAACTGTCAAACATCCTTCTGAGTCAGTTTATAAATTGACTGTTCTAGGGCTCATAGAATGCGTGAAGTTTGAAATTGTAACTTTTAGAAAACTGTCTTCAAAATTCGATATTTTTTTGAAATTTGAATCTTAAATTTTTGCTGAGCCCTTCGGGCACGCCACAGGTCCTGGAGCAGCCAATTTATACACTCATTTAGCTTCTTAAAGAATTGTAGTGTGCTTGAGTGACTCAATTCAGATCAGATTCAGATTCTTTATTGATGCTAATATTGTTAAAACAATTTACACAGGTCAAATAAATATATAAATAAGACAATAAAATCATTAAAAATCGAGTTACAAATTATCCTAAACATCTAATCAATTATGCTAAAAAATACATTTAAGGTAAAATTCAAATTCACAAAAACAATCAGGTACTAAGTGTCAAACATGCTATCACAGCCCACAAACTCTACAGTTGAGTAAAAAGCCTTGGAGATTCATTTTTGCCGAACAAGCCTTTTGAATTGCAGATCCCTGACATATTTAGGAAGACTGTTGAAATATCTCAGCTAAAAAATTTGGTCCATTCTGACACTTCTTCAGTCTGAAGTATGGAGTAACCAGATCGTCTCTGTTTCGTGTGTTATAGGTATGGAAGTTGCTGTTTGCATCATATTTATGCAAGTTAACTTTGGCAAAAAGCACATTTTCGTAAATGAAAATCGATGGAAATGTTATAATACTCAAGTTTACAAAGGCATGTCAACAATGTGCCCTGTATGACAACCTATCAATGATTCTTACAGCTCTCCTTTGTCAGGAAAAAATCCTACCCGCGTCTGCAGCCCCTCCCCAAACTATTATGCCATAAGACAGCAATGAATGGCAGAGAGCAAAGTATGCCGCCCTGAGAACCTTCTGAGAAACACCGCCTGCCAGACCCCTCAGCACAAATATGTTTCTGCTGATTTTAGTTGCCAGTTCCCCGATATGGAGGTTCCATGTCAAGATGGGGTCCAACGTCCAGAAACCTTACTCTATTCACCGTCTCTAGGTCTGTCTCACAGTCTCTCAAGGAAAATATCATTCTGCTGGATTTATCCTCATTCAAAATTAAGCTATTTTTCCCAAACCAGTTCCCGACCGCCGACTGTATCTTCCGTTTTCTCCCAGAGATCTCACAATTTTTGAATCTCATACCAATATTGCGGTATCATCAGCAAAGAGGCAGAGGTCAACAGTGTTAAAGCATTCAGGTAAGTTGTTGACATAGACCAAACATAAGAGCGGACCCAAAACAGAGCCTTGTGGGACGCCCACCGCTAACCTCATACCCTCCGACAACACACCATTAACTTGTACTTTCTGAGATCTATTAGCAAGATATGATTTCATCAGTTGGAGACTATCAGAATCAAAGTTGTAAGGTTCAAGTTTTTTTGCTAGGAGAACATGCGAGTCACAGTCAAACGCAGAACACGGTAGTACTGGTGTATTCCTTATTTTCAAAAGCATCCAACAGACGCGCAGTGAAACTCAACAAACCCGAGACCGTGCTGTGGCCCCTCCTGAATCCATGCTGTGCCCCTGTGAAAAGGTTGTTATTTTCGAAATATTGAACTATCTGGACTGCAATACATTTTTCAAAGATCTTGGACAACACTGGAAGCAAGGAAATGAGTCTAGAATTTCCAACCTCCCCCGTGCTCTTATATATTGGCACAACTAGGGCCTGCTTCAACGGCCCAGGAAATTGATTCCTTTGAATTGACAGGTTAATTAGCTTAGTTAAAGGGTACAAGATTATTTCTTGAACCATCTTCAACAGTGGTAAATTGGGCTGGTAAATATCACGACTTGATTTATTCTTCAAACCTTTCATTATATCCCTAACCTCAACACATAAGAAACAGGACGAAAAGAAAACCCGGGGCCTTTTTTAATTGTTATTAGTTTATTAGTTCAGGACTAGGTATCACTTTCAATGTTAAGACCAACCAGTAACTGCCGTGCAATATTTGTGAAGTATTCATTAAAACAGTGAGGCGAAATGCTGGCGGGTGAGGATGTTTTCTTACCTCGCCCCTCATCGATAATATCCCACATGACTTTAGATGGATTATTGGCATTTTTTATCCTAATATCGTTATGACTTCGTTTAGCGTTTTTAATTGCTTTGTTGTATTCCCTCCTATAGAGATTGCGCTGTTTCAGCGTGGTTTCAGTTGGGGCCAATTTATAAACATCATTATAGAAACCCACCCATTCCCTTAGGTACCTAGTTGTTAAACCGTGAGCAACAATTATTAATATAAACATTTCTAGCTTTATATATTTTTTTTCAGGGAACGCAGCTTCAAAACATTCAGTTAACTTACTCAAAAACATTGACATTCTGCTGTCCTGTCAAGTGTAAGAGATTCATCATCAACGAACTTCCAACAGATTTTCTCGACCAGTTCAAAAAATATTATTTTACCAGCCTTTGTTATTGGTCTACAGGTTTTTTTGGATGATGTATCCAATGAACTAGAATTCGAATTAAGAAGAGTTTTGTAAGACTTTGAAAAATAACTTTTGAGAATTTTGATTCTAAACATCAGTTAATTTTAATTTATAAATTAACTGATCCAGCATGCCTGAACGGCTTGACTACAATTTAAGGTTGCTCCTTTTAGAAAAGTGTGTGTTGAAAATTCAATATTTTTTTGAAATTTGTGTCTATAACTCCGATATGCATTCGATCACATTTTGCCATTTTTCTCGGAGTCGTGTTTAACGCAAAAACTTCGAGAGACAAAATAATTTCTAAATTGAATAGGCCTTCTAACTGATTGAAATATTTCGAAAAATTCAAATACGCCAGTTTCGAGGCTCCGAAGACAAGGGGTCCTATGAAAATGTATCTTAAAAGGATCTAGCAAAAGCGTTTTGAGAAATAAAAAAATACTATTCTTGGGGGCAAATTTTGAGGGTCTATAACTTTGAAAGAGGAGGCAATTTATAAAAAATAAAAAATACAGTTCCCTTTCTTTTAAGAATCTTTGATCAAATTTTGTTGCAGTGCCCAATTAGCAACTTTTCAGAATCAAAAAAATTAAATATTCAATTCTAAAAAATCCAAAAACTTATCTTCGTTAGTTCAGAATGTAACCAAAAATCTTAAAATTAGACAAAAATGAGATTGGCTCATTAATATAATAATGCCTTATAGCAATATTGCATCAGGCAAACTATGGCAGTAGGAAATAGAGAATATTATCAGGTATTTTTATCAAAGTCAATGTGAGTATGAGAAACTTTGGTATAAGTTAAGATCAGTGAGTTTCAGCTTACCTACAATTTATACCAATTTGTACTCATTGATGTAAGAGAGTTTGAAACAGCTTTGTAGCACAAAGATAAAGGCATTCTAAAATTCAAATTATAATCTAACTCAAAGTCTTCAAACTAGAATCGCCAAACAAGCTCAACTATCGCGTGATCATCGAAAACTTTTCAAATTCAAACCTACCTTTTGCGATTTCTGAAAGCTTCGCGGAAAAACAAAAACGAAAAATAACACACGAAACACAATTCGTAGAAAAGTCACCAAACAAAAGCTTGCGCTTTCTAACGTCTTTCCCCGATTCCCGAGAAATAAAAAAAAAAAACGCGAGGAGGAAAAAGAAATCTAAAAACAAAACCGCACAAATCCCGAAAACTTTAAAAGTCGCGGAGAGAGTTGATGCCAGAAACTCGCTCCTATCCGCGCCCGTCTTTGGGAGTTATAATTTCCTCTATTGTTTCGAAGTGAAACAGCGTTCGGTATTGTGGCGATTCTTTTCTACTCAATGCGGGCAACACGTGCTTGATAGTAGGGAGACCGGGGTTATTTCTAGAATATATGGTCGATTTTCTTCACTTTTGTATTGATCCATAATTTTTGTTCGTTTCTACTCCAAAATGAACATATTCATCATAATGTTTCATCAAATTATTTGTGTATTAGAAGTGAACCTACTGCAAGAGTCAACTGACTGAAGTTTTCAACTGAGAATGTTCTCAATTTTGTTTTGTGTTGTCTGTTGTTGAATAATTCTAAAAGCATTTATCAACTTATTTTTCTTTCAAACAAAGCAAGAACCAAACTCACTTTTTTGCTATTTAAAATGAATACCTGAATTGTATGACCTGAAATTCATGAAATTTCCAGGAAAATCAAAAAATTGCTATCCTCTTTGAGCCAGTTTGGAAGTATCGACAAAGATTGATTCTTATTCTAAAATAGGTTCCAGTTCCAATTATTTTATAACTTATACACTCATACTATAGCGCATACAAACCTTATACAGGCGTCCGATAGGTACTTTGTATACCAGGGGTAACTCGAAACTCTACTAATTGGAGGGTGTGACTGAACTTTTTTTGTCTTTGAGAACTTTACACCACCCTATCGCTGGGCTGTTTGAATTATTAAAATCACTGACGGTGCGTGTTGCATTATAATAATTTGTTATGTGTGTTGGTTTTATATTTCCATTGAAATATTGTTTAAATTATTAGATACATTTTATTGAACTCAACATATTAATATTTTCCATTTACCCATGGAATATTGATAAAAGGAGGAAAAAACTTGGGAGAACAAGGTATTTGCTTTGATATACAAGATGTTGACAAAGTTTTTTAGGTTGACAGTGAACGATTTTTTATTGAAGGAAGCTATTGGAGATTTTTGTTTACCTTCCTGGAAGATAGCTTTTAAAAGTTCAATTATTGAAAAACGATTTCGGATTTTTCAGCTGCTTATATTTGCGAATATCCTACTATAGCTGCTCCACCCAAAATTTTGTGTAACAAGATTGGGCTAACAAGAGATTTATCTAGTTGAGAGTATCGTATCCCATCTTTTTTTCTTGATTTATACTTAAATTTTTGCAAAAATCAATAAACAACTATAATTTTCTCACAACTGTGTTCAAATAATTAAACTTAGAAAATCATAAAACGCATATTTAACTCATGCAGTCGTATGATCATTAACCTCGTATGCTTACTAAACGTCCAAAGAAAATATCATTAATTTAAGTACGAGCCATTTACAAAGTTGACAATTCCTTGTTTATTTAGATGATGGCGGTTTTGTTAGAAAAACATCTCGAAGAGCCAGTTTCTGTTTCTGCAAACTACACTTTTCTCGACATAAAAATTGTAGTGTTTCTTCTACTTTGTTATTTGATTGCACTCAATATAACTTCAAGAAGTGAACGTATTTCCTAAAGATTGATTGCACCAAAATATCCTGGAAAGTAAATTCCGCAGAGACCATTTGAGAATATTTTCACGAATAGGTACGTTAAGGGCCGGTTTATTCACCTTCGGATAAACTCTCAGATAGGTATGCAATATGACGGATAAAAACGCAATCTATAATTCCATTGTCGGCCAGTTATCCGCCAACCAATAGAATTATAGAACGGTAAATTTATCTTGCAGATAGTTACCAAAAAGTTTATCTGAAAATGAATAAACCGGGCCTAAATATGTGGAATCTTCAGTAATACCGATCTAATTTAACAATAGAATTACATTATTTAGGATAAATCATCGGCTCTGAACATCCTTGCTACCAGCAGAAAACAAACATTCAGTTACACAACTTGAACAGAGCGATGTACACAGCTTCTGCGTTCGATAGAGAAACTGTTGTGTTTTCTGCTTTCCCAACAAACAAAATTGTCGAACAATTTAATCCCGAAACCAGAAATACTTTCTCTATCATTGACATTGTTAGCAAAATCAGCATCAACTTAAGCTGAAATAATGCCCACTCTTATAAAACTTAGCTTTGATGTTACGTACCTCAGCCCATAATTTTCAGTAAATTTCAAATATCTCAAAATATTTTTCGAATGTTTCCAGTTTCCAGCTGTAACAGTTTTGAGATTGGCTAAAGTATGTTACTGCAAAACACAAATCAGGTCTGCTTCCCAACATAATATACATTAAATTTCCTATCAGTTCCCTATGGAGTATAGATTCTCATTACAAGAGTTTCCATTAAGCGAACTAATTTCTGGTTGAACGGGAATACTTGCTACCTTGCAATCAAACATATTGTAGTTATTTACATTACAAGTTTACAACGTTTTATCTACAAAGCGAAAAATAAGAATGTTTTTTTTCAATCATTTTCGTTTATTGTTGTTGTCTACCTTCAATTCACCTTTACAGGTTCAACTTTGACATTTGCCAAATAGGGCATGTCCATGTGACGTCACAAATGAGTTTGACAATCGCCCTGAGGTAAAACAAATCATTTATTTACATTGGTGTAGATTAGGCCGGTTATGTTTTATGCGGTTTTCACAGCTTTTTTGCAAGTTTTTGTGTTATTGTGTTTTGAAAAAGTTAAAGTAAAGTGTTTATGTTCCCAGTCTATGTGGCCTTTTATCCAGAAGTTTTCTAGGTTTTTCTATAATGGATTAAATTCAGGGTTTTTTCAAAAAATATCAAAACCAAGTGTCACAAGAACAAATATATAAGTATAGTTACTCTATAATTCAATCTATTTTTCTGTCAGATCTTCTCTTTTAATAACATTAATCAATTGCTAACAAATCAAACTTCCGATTGTTATTTAAAATTGATGGAAACCTATGGAAGGATATTGTAACCGTTGCGCTATACTGCCAGAATTAACAACTAAACAAACTCTAGGCATGTCCAAGAAACTTCTGGACCACACAAAAGGTATTTAATTGAAAAAATCTAACTAAAAACCTAAAAAACCACTGTAAATATCTTTGTTTTACCTCAAGGCGACTGTCAATAGTGTCAAACTGTCAGATCGTGTACTTGCCCTATTACCAAAAATAGTTGTGTTATGAATTCATAACCTACTCCATAAAACCACTAGTTGTGTTATGAATTCATAACCTAGTCCATAACACCACTGTTCTGTTATGAATCTCATGACATACCTAACTCAATAACTAGAAAAATGGTTATGTAAAAACGTCATAACAAAACCAACCTTTTTAATATTTTCTGAATCAACTCTTTCTGATTTATGAACAAGGAATTGTCCGTTTTGATAATAGTCATACCAAAAAATTTCAAGACAGTATTGACAGTATTATTTGACACATTAGGAGTTAAATCTTTCATTTCAAATTTGAACACTAATTTACCTTTATAATCATGCAGTTTTGATAAGGATTCTGGAAATAAAATCATATCATCAACATGAAATATTAAATAGACATCCGTTCCCAAAATAAAGACAAGGGTCTGATTTTGATCTTTCGAATCCATTTATGATTGCCTTCTATGTTCTTTTCTATGAAAATCCACTTATAGAGTCTGTCACATTTTGATGATCTGGAGTTTTCATTATTTCCTATGTTTTATTTTCTTTCAATGTTCTAAGTTCAGTCCCTATAGCTTCTTTCCAACCATTTTCAAAAGAAATTGCTTTGTTGTAAGTCTGAGGTATGTCAGAGCATACGTTTCCAGCTGAAAGTGCAGTCATTAGACTTTCGTCAAAGTCCACTTCGTAGTCCTTGAATAGGGAATTTTCATAAGAAATAAATATGGCTTATTTTGTTTTTATGGTGCACATTTTTGTGTAAAACATTGAATATGAGCAGTTTTGTATTAAATTTATGGATATTATAGTCATATGGCAATTATTAGTTTCAAATTGAAAAGTTTCGCGCGGAAAAGTTACGTTTAACATGGCCGCTTCCAGTGACGTCAACTGTTCGTAATTTGTGGTTAAGGGTAGTTTACACTGATCGTAAATCCACGGTCCACACTTTCGTGGTTCACTCTTGAATCGTGGAACGATTGGTCCACGATCAGCTTACGTCACGCCACGACTTATATTGAACCACCATAAACGGGTATATTGAGGGAAGATTGTCAGACTGCGCTTTTGTAAATCCTGTATCAACCATGATGAACTATTTGAATTACAAGATGTCACATCACAATATGGCACTAAATACGGAAATACCTCATAAATAACCGCTTTCAAGTTTCAATGCAGTCGCAGGTTCAAGCTGAGCGATTCTTTCCGACAGTTTGCAAAGTGTATCCAAAGGCTCTTGTGAGAACAGACCTTAACGTTGTGTTTACAGACAGTTGACGTCACAAATGCCACCATCTTGAAGCTAATCGTTTTCGCGCCAACGAAAATAATTTGAAATTCAAAATAATTTTTTCATTTCAATGAGGACATAAAACAAAAAAAACATATACATTTTATATTTGAAAACATAAGCAATAAGAAAAAAAATACTTTGAAAAATATGATTGTTCCCTATTGTTTTGGTTTTGCTACACTTCTGGATATTCTGCCTTTAATCTCTTCTTTCTTATCTTTTTCTTTAGGGCTAGCATTGGCTTTAGGTGTATTTTGCTTTAGCTCCAACTGTTCTTCCTTATCAAATTCTTCATTCAAACTCATAGCATTGCTTTCATTATTCAATATTGTCGAGTTTGGTTTCTTCTTCATCTCGTCAAAAATAACATTTCGAGCTGTCAATATTTTATGCTTTTCAGAATCCCACACTCGATAACCATTATCATTGTAACCCATCATTATCATTTTCTTACTACAAACATCCAGTTTTCCATTCCTTTCTTCTTTTGGCAGATGAACAAAAACGTCACATCCAAAAACTCTTATTTCATTCAAGTTTGGCTTCTCTTTATACCAAATTTCAGCTGGTGTTATATTATTTTTCAAGACAGACGATTCAGTTCTATTAATCAGATACACAGCACATCTTACAGCTTTACAAAATAGTTTTTT